GGCGGCCCTAGAGGAAGCAGAGGTACATGTTTCGTTTACTCACCTAAGTATCACAAGTAAACTGAAAAAATGAATAGCAGCTGACATCTATTATACCACAAACTTTAAGGAAAAACACATGCAAGTCATTAAGAAATACTCAATTGTTCCTTGGAAATATAAAACTAATAGGCTATATTAAGATGTATGAAAGGTTGGTTTTTATTATTACTGTTAGTGATGCCTCCTTGAAGAAATCATCATAATGTGCAAAATATATAAATGCTCTTTAGGTAATCTAAATGTTTGCTTTTATTCAGGGATCTCTTGAGCATGAGGAAGGCAAAATTCTTCATATCCAGCTTGAGTTAAACCAGGTGAAATCTGACATTGACCGAAAAATTGCTGAGAAAGATGAAGAAATTGATCAGCTGAAGAGGAACCATCTCAGAGTCGTGGAGTCGATGCAGAGCACACTGGATGCTGAGATCAGGAGCAGGAATGATGCCCTAAGAATCAAGAAGAAGATGGAGGGAGACCTCAATGAAATGGAAATCCAGCTGAACCATGCCAACCACCAGGCTGCTGAGGCCATAAAGAACCTTCGAAATACACAAGGAATACTGAAGGTATGCTGGGCAAATACACATGATGTCATACAGTCCGAGCACCACTGTATAACTCAAATTTTAATATTTTAGGACTATATGCTACGAGTCAGCTACGAATCAACACTGCCAGACATCTTGTCTTTTGCAACTTTAGGCTGCAGACAGATACAGCAGATACAGTAGTAGGTTGAATGTATGCACAAAACTGAAAAGAGCTTAATCCTGGAAGTTCCAGGGTAAAATTTACTTTGTCATCTGAAGAGTAAACAAAGCAGTGAGGGGTGGGGAGAGATAGGAAGTGATTAGAGAGTTTAGCTACATGACATTGCTTGAATCATTCTGTATATCTGGAGTTCCTTTGTTTAATATATAACATAACAGGGTTGCACTAGCTGATCTCTAAGTATACATTCCCGATCCAAAATTCCATATATTTGGCCATGGCATTTTCCTATGATTCAGGATCTAAAGTCCTATCATGTTGTGTCCTTCTGAGTAGAGCTCTGCCTTAGACTTTAAAGAATGTGTCATTAAAAGGTACTTACAGATTGTTCCTATCTAATCATACTCCAAGTTATTAAGACCTAAGTATGCACATGACCCTAAATTTGTATTCGCTTTAACTACAGCATGAGTAAGAGTCTTTTCTCTTTCTGTGTAGGACACTCAGCTACATTTGGATGATGCCATCAAAGGCCAAGATGACCTTAAAGAGCAATTAGCAATGGTTGAGCGCAGAGCTAACCTGCTGCAGGCTGAGATTGAGGAGCTAAGAGCATCTCTGGAACAGACTGAGAGAAGCAGGAAGGTGGCAGAGCAAGAGCTTCTGGATGCCAGTGAGCGCGTGCAACTCCTGCACACCCAGGTGAGGTTCAGGATTATAGTTTAGTAACTGTACTCCCTGAAGCTGAAGACAACTTGAAAGGATAAGCAATCTTGGCACTGGCCCCTTTGAAGAGTTCTGAGAAATGTAGAGAGTGACATAAGTATATGCTGGGGCCTAGCTGACTCACAAGTATATTTATGGGCTGGCATAACCATGTTTATTAGAAATAATCTAAGAGTTCTAGAAACTTTTACAGAGAATCACAGAAGACCACTTATTAATAACCATACACATATACAACACTGGCAGGCATCTTGTCTTCTGCAACTCTAAGCTGCAAATAGTCAGCAAATAAAATAGAGGGGAGAGAATAGGTTGCCAAATAATGTGTATGTACTACCTATGCACATAAGGCTATCTTCATGGGATATAAGAAGAAACTTTAAGTTCAAATTCATGGAGGCAATCGTTACTGCTAGTTAGTATGTGTTGTTTATGGAGGATTTGTTAAATAAACAGTCTTGTATCCTTACAATGGCTAATATGCAACCATCAAAGATATGAACTGAGTGCTATGGAAAAATGTTCACAATATAGTAGTGAAAAGAGCAAATTAAAAATAACATATGTTAAAAAGATACAGGAAACATCCAGAAAGATAAGCAAAAGTACTCTCAGTGGTAATCTCTGTAGCGAGAGCACAATATTCTTTTTCTCTTTTTCCTAATCTGTATGTTCTGTTATTTTTTTAAATAAATATATTACTGTATAATTTTTGATGTGGCAACATATGCAAGCAGCCATTACAGAAACATTAAAATTGCATACTATATACGTAACTTTAAAATCAAATTAAAATGCAAGATTTTTCTTACTCATTTGTTATTAGTATCCCTGAACTGATTAAATATTTCAAATGCTGACAACTTTCCAAAAATATAAAGGACTCTTAGCTCATACTTTTAACAGTAATAATGCTATTAATGTACTTAAAATATGGAGCCAAACAGTGTGAATGAACAACTAAAAATTAAAAATCCATTTCTCATGAGCTATGTGGTGCTATATGGTACCACCCTTTAACTTATCTGGGCTGTGCTTTACGCTTACAAGCAGCAACTGATACTAGTCAAATACATTTAGTATGAAAATTAAATTTTATCTGGAAAAATTTAGGAAAATTTTTATTAACAGAAATATGGGGAGAAAGAGAAGATATAATCTTAGAATTCTGATTTAGTTTTTATTCTGAACAACATTATGATTGACGATTTATGCCTGTGTACATTTGTTAAAATGACAATCTGAATGCTTATAATATAATTAAATGCTCTTTTCTTTTTTTTTTTATTAATTTGAAACAGAACACCAGCCTGATCAACACCAAGAAGAAGCTGGAGACAGACATTTCCCAAATCCAGGGAGAGATGGAGGACATTGTCCAGGAAGCCCGCAATGCAGAAGAGAAGGCCAAGAAGGCCATCATTGATGTGAGTGGAAGGCAACACAATGGGGGTCAAACTTGAATGTTGATGTGCCATCTCTGCTCCCTTAATCGATTTTGTTTTATTGCTAATTAGGCTGCCATGATGGCTGAGGAGCTGAAAAAAGAGCAGGACACCAGTGCCCACCTGGAGCGGATGAAGAAAAACCTGGAGCAGACGGTGAAGGACCTGCAGCACCATCTGGATGAGGCGGAGCAGCTGGCCCTGAAGGGGGGCAAGAAGCAGATCCAGAAACTGGAGGCCAGGGTGGGTCTCCACCACTTCATTCAATTGCCAGCCTTTTCACGTAGCTAGTTACAGCCAACATTTTAAATGCCTTTGGTCTCTTCCAGGTGAGAGAGCTTGAAAATGAGGTTGAAAGTGAACAGAAGCGCAATGTTGAGGCTGTCAAGGGTCTTCGCAAACATGAGAGAAGGGTGAAAGAGCTCGCTTACCAGGTGAACAGCCTTTTCATATTTTCCAGGCCTACCGCTTTTAAGAAAATAAACATGAGTTGTTTACATATAATGATACTATCTATTTGCTACCTCTTTCAGACTGAGGAGGACCGCAAGAATGTTCTCAGGTTGCAGGACTTAGTGGACAAACTACAAACCAAGGTTAAAGCTTACAAGAGACAAGCTGAAGAGGCCGTGAGTATCTCCATAGTAAGAAAGGTTCAGGAGCAGATCCAGGTTTTGTGGGGCCTGAAGTTTATAGAATTTTAAGGGGCTTTCTCTAAGGTAAAGAACACAAAATTATGAATACAAAATTAGGTATAAAAATTAGTATTTATTTAGAATGATAAAAAATTACCACAAATTACTGAAGCCTTAGAGATTCAGGCTCATTTCTTCTGACACCCGTTTAAGCAATTTTCCAGACGTGTTAACACAGAAATGCTTCTTGGTTGCAACCCCCTTCCCTCCCTATCTAGAATATTTACAACTCCCAGCAATTCCCAGCCTACATATGGGCCTGTACAAATGACGGCTCTGAAGTCTAAGCCTCTTTAATTTAATAATAAACCTATTTCAGGAAGGGTTGCATTTTTTTTTTCATTTGACTGAAGTTATCTTTCTCATCCTGTTAATTCTGAAACCTTCCTTAATGTTCTCTGCACCCAATACCACCATTACACCTACTTCTTAGAAGTTTCTTCTAGAGAAACAAGATTGACTCAGATCCCTGATACTTTGATCTCCCTGTTGTCCTTGTGGCATTTTAAGCTTACCAGGAACAGAGTCAGGGGAGAGGGAGTTGGGAGCGGAGTTGTAAGGCCACTCATTCATACAGGTGAGTTTGTGGGATGTCCTGGCCCCCAAAAAATATGTCACCAAATAACAGAACCTTTTGCTTTCTCATCCTAGAAGCGAATATTAGATCTAATTTAGTAACAAAAGCAGGAAGAATCAGAAAATATAACATTTTCTTCTTCTCTCAAATGCATTTCTGTTCTTAGGAGGAACAATCCAACGTCAACCTTGCCAGGTTCCGCAAGATCCAGCACGAGCTGCAGGAGGCTGAGGAACGGGCTGACATTGCCGAGTCCCAGGTCAACAAACTGAGGGTGAAGAGTCGGGAGGTTCACACAAAAGTCATAAGTGAAGAGTAATTCATTCTAATGCTGAAAGGTGACCAAAGAAATGCACAAAATGTGAAGTTCTTGGTCACTGTCCTGTAATATCAAGGAAATAAAATCTGCAGAGAATTTTGCAATCTAAAAATACACTGTCTCTTAATTACAAGCTCTGTTAGAACTTTAGGAGGAAGATGTGGCAGTCTGCTTCCATAAAGCTTTACAGCCTTGGGAACCCTATGGGGTAGTTCTACACTGTCCTGTAGGATTGCTATGAGTCAGAATAGACTAGACAGCAAGAGGTTTGGTTGGGGTTTTATTAAAACTAGTTCATTTATTCAATACTTGTTGAGCTCCAACTCTGCAATCAGAGATAATGACAGAAATGAATGTGGGCAGTGAACCAAGTTAATAGAAGATAAATGAAATAAGGTCCTCTGAAGGGATGCAAAGTTGATTAACGCACCCTCAGTTCCACTCAACCAATTTTACTGAGTACCAAGTATGTGTCTGGTACAGAAATGGACACCAAGGATATGACAATCAACTCTGACTTCAAGAAGTTCAGTCTAGTGGACGAGGCAGCAATTCAAAAAGATTATGGTACAACATATGTCCTCTGATAAAAGTATGAAAACAGAGTGCGGCAATAACATAGAGGAAGCCACTAACCTGGGGAACCCAGAGGGCTTCTCAAAGGAGACTGTGAGCTAGGTCCTAAAAGATGACAAGACAGTTACCAGGTGAAAGACAAGAGGGGATGGGCAGTCTAAGAAAACAGACATGAGATTTCAGAGTAGTTTAAGTGTAGGCTTCATGGGCAAAGGGCAGCAGATGAGGCCAGAGACTGAAGTTAAGGCCTGACTGTGAAAGGTACTGCAGTGCTAGGAATTAGGGTATGCATCAGACTGGTTACATTTGGTGAGAAGAGAGTTGACACAATTTTGGCAGCAGTATGGAGGATGGAAGAGGATGGGAAAGACCAGTTTAGAAGGCCACTGAAATGGTCCAAATTAGAGACGATGATGATGGAAATGAATGAAAGCAGCGTTCAAATACTGGCATAAAGAAAGGGTTGGGAAAGCACTGGAAAAGTCAAACAGTTTCACAGTATTCATACCTCCCAGTCACTTCATTGTTATAAATTTTATTTCCTTTTGGGGGACATTCTTTTCTTCTGAACCTTCTCCCTCTCCAAGAAAAAGGACAGAACATTTTAGATAAACCTTCCTGTTGACCTTCCAATTTCTACATATAATTCTGCTTACCAAAGAGCCTTATTTTTCTGAGTACCTAACATATTTTAAGAAGAACCAGAAAGGGAGTATGACTGAAATTTTAACACAGCCATTGCTGGAAGGATTTTTTCTTTGATACCTTCTTAAAGCTTACAATTTGGCTTCACAGTGTGGACATTTTTAAAAAATAAAATGGTAGAATATCAGTTTATTCTTTGACAGTGGTGGAAATCTGTTTCTAATGAGGAGGCTGCTCTGGGAAATCTATTTTCAGTGTAAGAAGTCTAATTAGTAATGAGAAGCTTGCTTTATGAGAAAAGAATTTTTACAAGGTAGAAAATAATCATGACAAATATTTAACCTATGCCATAACGAAGACAAATGAATTACTCCTGCCTAGAGTAGGCATTTATTACCAAATTGTAATTAAACTCTGTAGGGTTAACCTATCGACCTCAAAAGGACCAGGTAATTGCTTTATTATTCTACCTCTTCACTATTTAAATATTTGGTTATGTAGAGAGTTGAGAGTGGATTCTCTTATACATGGGTCAGTTATTCTTGGTTCCCTGATTAAAGTAGCAAGGATTTAGATCAAAACTATTCTGGTTAATATTGCTTCCTTATTTTCTCACAGACCAGCTGATTTATTGACTTATTTCCTTAACTATTACAACAAAGTCCTTATCTATTATAATCTAGGACTGCTTATAATACTGTTTACCTTTTCTTTAAATAACACAAGGGATCACTGATATTTGGGAATTATTTCTAACCTACTGATGCTGGATACGAAAACCCAAACAGGATGCATGCAACAAAGCAGGAGGCTATCTATCCCCCAGAACAAACAACTCTGAATCAGAAGCAATGGAGGTAGTTTAAGTCTGACTCCTCCCTGATCATAGCACTAAGACTCACTGTGACGGGGGAAGAAAAAAAGAGACTGGAAGAAGACTGTGAAACGTGGCAAAGGGCAAGGGCCTTTTTCTCTTATTTATAACATGTAGGGAACTAGGCAGAAATGATCATGCTCTAGTGATTTTGGTATCTAGCTAGGCAACACGACAGTAATAAAATCTCCTAACAATCTGTCCTGAGGCCAGTTTCGTTTCTTCTCGATATTATGAGAACGAAATGACCATAGCTATTAAACAGCAAATTCTAGGATGGTCGACATACTGATACTTGGAGATATCATGAATATTTTTTCTCTCAGCTCTATTTATAGTGTTCAGACAACCAAACGGATATCAAGAACAGAAGGAACCTCAACATCCCTAACTCTAAATTACCTCCCCTTCTAGCTATCTTTATAGCGACTAGACAGCAACGAATTTTTGGTTTTCTAGCTATCTTATATCTAAATCTCCTGCTATTGGAGACTGAATCCTTGGATCCTAGAAGATGTTCACTTTATTTAATCTCTTATTAAATTGAAGAGATATTAATTTCGACTAACACTCTAGCCAGAGTTATTGGCTAACCAACTAAGAAAGTATCTCAAGGAACAAGTCCCTTCAGATGTGCCTGAAAGGAAGGCAACCCTTAGGCAGGGAAACTGCAGAGATTTAAAAAATACCCAAAGGCCACGTACTTATTAATGAATGATAGAGCCAGACTTAGACCAAGACCTTCTAACTGTTCTGGAAGTGATGCACTGGAAGTAATGCACTGTCAGGCTTTCCACTCTAACCTGACTGTGAAAGGTTATGATGACACTCCTTCCTTAAAACAAGGTCAGTAATCTGTCATTTCACGGGAGCAGAGGAAGGGTCTCCGCCCTTCACTCAGATATCCATATGGCTTGTTCCTTCATGTCTGCAGGATTCTCGCTGAATTACACCTTATCAAAGAGGCTTTCCCTGGCCACCAATATCAAAAGGCAACCCCTTCTCCCTGCCCTGACAATTACAATTCTAATCCCTTTGATTTATTTTATATCTGTCCATGATACTTACCATCACTTGACTACTAATTTGTTTAATATCTAAAAGAAAGGGACAGCCTAGTAAGACAGAAAGCTTGTATACAACAACTGCTCTCCTACAAACAAACACCATAGAGAAAACTGTGGTCCTACCCCTCAAAAAGGCCACATGGGAAGCCATACTTCCACCCTCGTGAGGCTGTAATGAGGTACCTGAACACCCCTACTGGGGTAGCATCAGGAAAGACCAGGTAGAAAGACAGGACTTTCATCCCCGGTGGCTGGTAATGGGTTCTGTGGTGTCAGTGGAAATGACATGGGGATCCTTGACTTCCACCTCACCCAGCAATAACCAGGTACCTCTTGCCCTTTCCACTAGGGTGGTGTCAGAAGAGGCCTACAGGAGAGTCAGGACTTTCACCACTGCCCAGTGGTAATGAGGTCACCCCCACTGTGGTGTCAGTGAGACCATGTGGGGAGCCAAAACTCCTACCTTGCCCAGAAGTAGTGAGGAGTTTCCCCTTGGGTGTCAAAAGAAGCCAAGTGGGGAAACTGGACTTCTACCTTCACCTGGCAGTAATGAAGTGGTGACCCCCCTTCCCTTGCCAGAGTAGCATCAGAGAAAGCCAGCTAAAAGGTTTAAATAAGATCTAGATTCTCAGAACATGACACAAAAATGTCCAGGTTTCAACTGAAAATCACTCCTCATATCAAGATGATCTCACACTAAATGAAAAAAAGGCAAATGAATAAAAAAATCTAAAGCCAAGATGATTAAGATGTTAGATTTATCTAACAAAGATTTTAAAGCAGTTATTGTAAAAATGCTTCAAGGAGCAATTATAAACATGCCGGAAACGAAAGAACAGAACATCTTAGCAAAGAAACAGAAAGTATCATAAAAAAAGAACATATAAAGAAGACCTAAATGGAAATTTTAGTGCTGAAAAATACAATAAACAAAATTAAAAAGCAACAAAGCAGAGGGAACCGAGGAAAGAATCAGTGAACTGGAAAATAAAACAATGGAAATTACCCACTCTGAAAAAGGGAGAGAAAATAAACTGTTATAGAGCTCTGTGGCTCTGTAACGAACAATCTAATATCCTATAAAGAAAGGAGGAAGACTGAAGGAATGAAAAAGTACTTGAAAAACAATGACTGAAAACTCCCCAAATTTCACAAGTCATAAATGTACACATTCAAGAAGGAGTTTAAACAAGCAGGATAAACTCAAAGAAATTCATACCAATACATAGTTACACTTTTGAAAATTAAAGGCAAAGAAAAAAATCTTGAAAGCATCTAGAAAAAATGACATCTTACCTATAGAAGAAAAACAATTCAAATAACAGTGGATTTCTTACCAGAAACCACAGAAATCAGAAGGAAGTAGTACAATATTTTTCAGGTGCTGAAAGAAAAGAACTATCAAAAATATGTTTCGGGAATGAAACGAAAATCAAGACATTCTCAGATGAAGAAAAACTAAGAGAATTTGTCACCAGCTGACCTAACCTAAAAGAATGGCTAAAGAAAGTTCTCTAAACAGAAAGTAAACAATAAAAGAAAGAAACTTGGAACATTAAAAAGTAGGAAAAAACATGGTAAGCAAAAATAGGAGTAGATACAGTAAGCTTTTCTTTATACACGGTTTTCTAAGTTATATTTGATGATTGAAGGAAAAGTTATAATGTTGTCTGATGTGGTTCTAAATGTATATAGAAGAAATATTTAAGACAATTATATTATAAATGGAAGAGGGTAAAGGGACTTAAAGGGAAGTAAGGTTTCTGTACTTCACTAGAACTGGTAAAATGAGAACACCAGTAGACAATGATGTGTGTGTGTATACAAACGCCTAGAGTAATAACTAAAAATGATATACAAAGACATATACTAAAAAACATTATAAAGAGGATTAACTTCCTGAATGACAGCATGAGGAGGCCACTGAAGCACTCCCCAGTGAAAATGGTAAAAATTATTTTAATAACAACCATTTAAATCCTCTGGAAATGGTCCTAAGGACACACAGCAAATGAACAAACATTTATCAAGAAAAAGAATGAGGGAACATCTAGCTTAATTGGCATAACACAGTTTATAAAGAAAATGTTCTACATTCTACTTTGGTGAGTAGTGTCTGGGGTCTTAAAATCTTGTGAGCTGCCATCTAAGATACTCCATTGGTCCCACACAGTCTGGAGCAAGGGAAAATGAAGAAAACTAAAGACACAAGGGAAAGATTAGTCCAAAGGACTAATGGACCACAACTACCACAGTCTCCACCAGACTGAGTCCAGTACAACTAGATGGTGCCCGACTACCACCACTGACTGCTTTGACAGGGATCATAATAGAAGGTCCCAGACAGAGCTGAAGAAAAATGTAGAACAAAATTCTAACTCATAAAAAAAGACCAGACTTACTGGCCTGATAGAGACTGGAGAAACCCCGAGACTGTGGTCCCTTCACACTCTTTTAACTCAGTAATGAAGTCATTCCTGAGGTTCACCCTTCAGCCAAAGATTAAACAAGCCCATAAAACAAAACGAGACTAAAGGGGCATACCAGCCCAGGGGCAAGGACTAGAAGGCAGGAGGGGACAGGAAAGCTGGTAATAGGGAACCCGAGGCCGAGAAGGGAGAGTGTTGACATGTTGTGGGGTTGGTAACCAATGTCACAAAACAACATGTGTACTAACTGTTCAGTGAGAAGCTAGTTTGTTCTGTAAACCTCCATCTAAAGTACGATACTAAGAAAAGAAACTGTATGAAAATTCGGCAAGAAAGGCAAGAATCTGTGGTATTTGAAACAAGACTGCTCCCTCCTTCTCCCCTCCCAGTTTGTGAGGTGAAGACTCCAGACTGCTGCAGCAGGGCTCCCTCTCACTGCAGCTCCTTGTTGGAGAGCTTTCTTCCTGGGAGGAGCAGGACATTTCTCATCCTGCCCCCCAGCCACCTGTTGCTGAGGTTAAGTCCTGGCTCTCTTCTTCCACCCATCCCCCACCTGTGGAATAGATGCTCTACCTTGGGTGCAGTGTACTGAGAATACTGGGGCCCTGATGACCCTTGTTATGGATTGAATTGTGCCCCCCAAAAAGGTAGGTTGAAGTCTTACCCCTGTACCTGTGAATGTGACCTTGTTTTGAAATAGGGTCTTTAAAGATGTTATCAGTTAGGTTAACATAAGGTCTTACTGGATTAGGGTCCTAACCCTATAGGACTGGTATCCCTACAAATGAGAAGATACACAGAAATAGAAGAATGAGAAACTATTTGTTCTATAAACCTTCACCTGAAGTACAATAAATAAATAAATAAAATAAAGATTAAAAAAAAAAAAAGAATAGACAGAGGAGAGATGTCCATGTAGAGATGTATCTACAAACCAAGAAATGCCAAGGATCGCTGGGAGCCACAGAAGCTAGGAGAGAGACACAGAATAGTTTCTCTCAGAGTCCTCAGAAGGGTTCAACATGGCCAATACCCTACTTGGCACTTCTAGCCTCCAGAACTGTGACACAATACACTTCTGTTCTTATAAGCCACCAAGTTTGTGATATTTTGTAACAGCATCTCTAGGAAACTAAGATAACCCTTGACCTGGCTCTTGAGGTGGAGGTTCTACATCAGGGGAGACAAGCAAAGAGAACTTCAGGCTGCTGCCCTCCCCCACACACACTTAACACTCTGCTCCTAGAGTGAGGATGTCACCCAAAGAGAAGCTTGTCATTGTCCCCACCCCAGCTCCAGAGCCTTTGCTCAGAGATTTTGCCTGGATGGAGACACACGCAGTAAAACAAAGAGCTCCTAATATCTTCCCAAAGAAACCGACTTTATTTATTTACAACAAAACATGGAGAAGTTCAAGTCTGAGGCCACTCTCAAGTTGGAGGTTGTGTTGAAAGACAATTAGAAGGAGATGCAAGATACAGGCTGAACTGTAGGCCTGATAATTAACAGGTGAGAATCGGGGGATAAGACACCTGGTACCAAAAGAAGACAAAGACAGTACAAAAAAAAAAAAAAAGGACAGGTCAAAATTCTTAGTGAATAGAGATGCAAAAGTCCTTAACAAGATATTAGAAAATAGAATTCAGCAATATATAAAAAGAATTATTTACCATAGCCAAGTGGGATTTATTAGTTCAATATTCAAAAATCAAAAGCCTAAATAAGAAAAATCGCATGATCGCATTAATTGATACAAAAAAGCAGTTAACAAAATTCAACACTCATTCATGATTAAAAAAAAAAAAAAAAACCCTCATAAAAATAGAAATGGATGGAAACTTCCTCAACTTGATGAAGAGCATATGCAAAACCTAGAGCTAACATTATGCTGAATGGTGACAGACTGCTGCAATGTGCTGTAACCACAAGTTGTAAGTGAAGACCGTTTGGAGCAAAAGCACAGAACAGACACTGTTCTAACGGTGTGGTCAACAGGCGTTTATAATTCACAGAGCAAACACGACAGGGATAAGCATGACAGCAAACATGCTCATCGGCCAAAGTTTCCCGAAGTTCAGCTCCCATCCCAGGGTGTGATCTTATGATCCCATCCTAGTGCGCCCCGTGTCACACCACAAAGAGCAACACGGGAGCCCCTCTCTTGCAGGTTTAATATACTAACAGGACAGCCATATCTACGTGCCAAATAACATGTACAGAGATCAAGAAGCGGAAAGGGGTGATAAGAGGGTAGTAAGAGGTAAAAGGAAACCCTGGTGGTGTAGTGATTAAGTGCTACGGCTCTTAACCAAAAGTTGGCAGTTCAAATCCACCAGGCGCTCTTTGGAAACTCTATGGGGCAGCTCTACTCTGTCCTATAGGGTTGCTATCAGTCAGAAGCAACTCGATGGCAAGGGGTTTGCTTGGTTTATTAAGAGGTAAAAGGGGATAATGAAAGTGGAAGTCCCCCTGCAGGTAATGGATATTATTCATTGCCCCTGTTTAGGGTGGGGGGACCATCTCCTGATGGTTATTCTAGATTTACAGAAAATATTTAAAATGACACAAAAAAATCTGGAAAATGTGAATACTCCATTATGTGTTAAAGAAATTGAATTCATAATTTAACATCTTCCCAAAAAGAAAACCCAGGTCTAGATGGCTTCTCCGATGACCTATGGCAAACGTTTAGGGAAGAAATAGTATCAATCTTGCACAAACTCCTTTAGAAATGAGAGGAAGGAATCCATCTTAACTCATTTTATGAGAGCAGCAAATACCAAAACCTGACAAGAGTACTACAAAGAAAAGAACCGTCAAATATCCCTCACAGATGCAAAAAAATCCTTTACAAAATATTGGCAAATCAAACCTAGCAATATATGAAAATATTAATACTGATAAATTATGACCAAGTGGGATTTATCACAGGAATGCAAGATAGATGTAATATTTTAAAATCAATGTAATACATCACCTTAGTAGAATAAAAGAGAAAATCAGATGATCTCAATAGATGCCGTAAAAGCATTTGACAATATTCAACATCCATTCGTGATAAAAACTCTCAGCAAACTAGCAATAAAAGGAAACTTGTTCAATCTAGAAGAAGGCGCCTACAAATGAAACTCAGCTAGAACATCATGCTTAATGATGAAACCGTGGACACAGTCTGCTTAAAACTGGGACTGCAGAAAGGATGTTCACTCTCACCTCTTTGCACTGGCGGACCAAGATAATGCAATGAGGCAAAAAAAGGAAACAAAAAGGCACAAAGGTTGAGAAAAAAGAAGTAAAAGTGTCTTTATTTGCAGATACATGATTGTATATATAAATCATTGAATTAAATAAGTCTATAAAATAAACTACTTGATTCAAGAAGAAAATTGAGAATGTTTCAAATTACAAGGTCAATTGTATTAAATGCATTTTATACCATATTTTATACTAGCAGCAAACAATTGGAAAATGAAATTTAAAATATCAATATCACTTACAATAGCAGCAAAACTTAGCCTCTACACTGAAAACTGAAAAACACTGCTGAGAGAAATTAAAGATCTAAATAAATTACCTCTGTGTGTGGGGGGTGGGGGTGGGGGAGAGATCCTGACTATGTTCATGAATCTGACTACTCAATATTGTAAATTTGTCAATTCTCCCCAAAGTAATCTACAGATTTAATGTAACCCAACTCCCGTCAAAATTCCATAGGGCTTTTTTATTTTTTTGGTAGAAATTGGCAAACTAATATTAAAATACATGTGGAAATATAAAGGACCTAGAATACGCAACGCAATCTTGGAAAAGAAGTACAAAGTTGGAGGAATTACACAATCGGATTTTAAACTGTATTATGAAGCTACAGTAATTAAGACTGTGGTATTAGTTAAGGGTAAACAAACAGATCGACGGAACAGAATCAGAGGAATAAAGAGTTCAGAAATAGGTCAACTATATACAGGAAAATGACTTTTTGTTAAGTTGCCAGTAATATTCGATGTGGAAAGGAAAGTCTTTTCAACAAATAAAATCAATTAGATATTTGTATGGGGTGGAAAAAAAAAACCTGACCCATATCTCACACCATATACAATAACTAACTCCACATGGATAACAGACCTAAATGTAAATGCTGAATTATAAATCTCCTAGAAGAAAACATAGAAGAGTATCTTGGACAAAATTTCTTAAACATTTAGGGATGAAATATTATCACGACAAGCACTTAATATAAAAGACAAAAAACGGGACTGGCTGCTCTGAGGAGCCATCTTTGCATTGTTCCCCGGGTCTGGCTCCGCGCTCGCTGCAGCCACCTCCGCCGCGCGCTCCCTCTGCCACCGCAGACTCTGGGCTCCGGGGGCTTTCTCGCCCGAGTCCCCGAACTCGCACTTTCTTTGTAATCCGCTGCATTGGATCACCAGCGTGCCCCACCATGTCAGACGCGGCGCGGACACCAGCTCTGAGATCACCACCACTAACTTAAAGGAGAAGAAGGAGGTTGTGGAGGAGGCAGAGAAATTAAGAGATGCGCCCGCTAATGGGAACGCTAACGAGGAAAATGGGGAGCTGGAGGCTGACAATGAGGTAGACGAAGAGAAGGAAGAAGGTGGGGAGGAAGAACAGGAGGAGGAAGAAGGTGATGGTGAGGAAGAGGATGGAGATGAAGATGAGGAGGCTGATGCAGCTACGGGCAAACGGGCAGCTGAAGATAATGAGGATGACGATGTTGACACCAAAAAGCAGAAGACCAATGAGGATGACTAGACAGCTAAAAAGGAAAAGTTAAAAAAAAAAAAAGGCCACCGTGACCTGTTCACCCTCCACTTCCTGTCTCAGAATCTAAACGTGGTCACTTTCAAGTAGAGAGTCTCGCCCGCCCACCTGGGGCAGCGCCACCTGCAGATGACACGCGCTCTCCACCACCCAACCAAAACCACAATGTGAATTTGCAACAGGGGAGGAAAAAAGAAAACTTCCAAGGCCCTGCTTTTTTCTTTAAAAGTACTTTAAAAAGGGAAATTTGTATTTTTTATTTACATTTTATATTTTTGTACATATGGTTAGGGGTCAGCCATTTTTAATGATCTCGGATGACCAAACCAGCCTTCAGAGCGTTCTCTGTCCTTCTTCTGACTTTACTTGTAGTGTGACCATGTTCATTATAATCTCAAAGAAGAAAAAAAAACCTTGTAAAAAAAAAAAAAGCAAAAACAACAACAACAAAAATCCAGTAACTTTCTTTGTGTATGTACTTAGCTGTACTATAAGTAGTTGGTTCGTATGAGATGGTTAAAAAGGCCAAAGATAAAAGCTTTCTTTTTTTTTCCTTTTTTTGTCTATGAAGTTGCTGGGTTTTGGTTTTTTTTTTTTTTTTTTTTTTTTGACCTGTATGATGTATGTATGAAACAATGCTGTCCAACAATAAACCGAAATTTTATTTTGCTGAGTTGTTCTTAAAAAAAAAAAAAAGATGGTATACTGGTCCTCATCAAAATTAAAACTACTGCTCATCAAGACACCATTAATGATATGAAAAGACAAGTCACAGGCTAGGAGAAAATATATGTAATACATATATCCAGTAAACAACTTGTTTATAAAGAACATATACAAATCAATATTAAGAAACAAAATCCAAAAATAAAAAATTCTATAAAAAGGGGCAAAAGACTTGAACAGACACCTCAAAAAGGAGATATATGAATGTCTGATAAGCACATTAAAAGACGCTCAATATTTTGGTTTTGGGAAATGCAAATTAAAACTACAAGAAGATTCTACTACACACCCACAAGAATGGTTAAAATGAAAAAGACTAACAATGCCAAATATTGGAGAGGATGCAGAGCAACTAGACTTCTCATCCATTGCTAGTTGGGATGTAAAATTGTACAAGTATCTTTTTTTTCAACTACTTTGAAACAATTGTTTGGCAATTTCTTAGAAATTAAATCTACACTTAACGTTTTGATCTAGAAATTCCACCCCTCAGTATTAATTTAAAAAACGAAAGCATCGGTCCACAAAAAGATTTAAAAAATGCTTGTTAAGAGAATTAAATCCGTTGCCATGGAGTCGATTCCGACTCATAGCGACCCTATAGGACAGAGTAGAAATGCCCCATAGGGTTTCTTAGGAGCCGCTGGTGGATCTGAACTGCTGACCTTTTGGTTAGCAGCCAAGCTCTTAACCACAGCAAGAGAATTAGGATGAACAAAATACAGTATATCCTCACAATGGAATACCACACAGCAATAAAAAGAAATGAACTACTGATACATGTATGAATCTAAATAACAGTCCTCTTTGGCACTGAGATGCTCCTTTTTCCTTTGTGAAAGGCAAGCTGTTTCCTTTAGTTGAAGATGGGATAATTACAGAGATTCACATTAGAAAAGGTAAAAATGACTTAGTGGCTGTAATCCCCCTGCTTTTACTCACTGAATAGAGACAACAGAGGAACTCTTAGGGCAAAGAGAATGTTAAGAATGGTAAGCTTACTTCTGGCAAGGACTCTCAGAATAGAAGGCTCATTAGATACTGTAACCTAATGCTTGCACTGGGTTTAATTGTAAGTGGATACTACAGAGAAGAGCAAGAACAAGGGATACAGTCCAGACCTTGGAAGGGTTTTTACTCCAAGTTAAAAGAAATTAGTTGCCTCACAAGAGAAGGGTTGGACTATACCAGTAATCAAGCTTTAGTGAAATATATCTTATAGTTTAGTTTTCTTACATATATTGCCCATTAAAACTCTTTACTCCATTGCTTGTTGCTATTTTAAATAAGGTTTTCAGTATTCCACGTCATATCTCAAAGAAAACAAATGGAACATGCACTACACTGATCCAAATCTCAGGTTGAAGTGTCAAGTTTCAACCGCTGACCACATAATCAGAGCACCACCACTTAAATTATAGACACAGTAATTGAAAGGACGTTTAAGTTGTTCTCAAAATTTTGAACATAGCTTCATATTCCCATGTGCTTCTGTAAGAAAGGCAGCAAGAAGTGAAATTACTGTAATTTTAAATTTCAAAGGTGCAACAAATTGCCCTAGTAATTTACACCCTTACTCACAGCATATGCAGACATCCACTTCCCTACACCATCAACATTTACTACTATCAAACAGTTTTATTTACGTCAACCTGATGGCGAAATATACTAGCTTTCTGCTTTTTGATCTTGCATCTCATGTGGTTGAGCATGTCTTCATGTTTACTGGCTATCTGTGTTGCCTCTTTCATGAAGTGTCTATTTATATCTTTTGGCTTTTTTTTCTATTTGGTTGTACCTCCCTTTTTTCTTGATTGGAAGGGCGGGTGGGTGGGTAGATGGATGGATGGATAGATAGATGATAAACATATATAGAGAGAGGTATAGATATTCTGAATATGATGTCTCTGTCCGTTATATATGTTGCAAATAGTCTCTCCCAGTCTGGTGTTTATCTTTCAATTTTGTTTATGCAACTTTTTTTTATCATTAAGAAGTCTTAAATTTTTATGTGGTTAATCTTACAAATGTATGGTCTTTTTACCTGATTAAAGATCTTCCCTACCCCAAAGCATTAAAATATTCTCCATATTTTCTTCAATTACTTCTAGAGTTTTATTTTGCTTTGTTTTAATGCTGAAGACTTCAATTCATCTTGAACTTATTTTTATAAATGGCATCAGGCAGGGAACTAATTTAATTGTTTTTTCAAATGGTAAGTTCTCACCCCCATTCACTGAATAGTCCTTCCTTCCCCCACTGATCTGAAAAGCTACCTTTATCATATACTAAATTGCCATACATGTAAGAGCCCATTTTTGGACTTTATTATATTCTACTGATCTACCTGTCTACACCTACACTAATTTACACTGTTTTAGTCACCATATTTAAAAATATTCTTTGATGTCAGGTAGAGTGGTTTGTTACTTTGTTATGTGATAAAAGCTTATTATTCCTAAAAATTTGTTGCCTCTTCCTAGGAACTCTGTTATTGCAGTTCTCCACCCAGATAAATGTCTCTATCCTTTGTCTGTTACTTCCAAGTCTGTTCCCTTTCCACAAGAAACATTACCCCAATCACAGGAAATTTAGTTTATTTTTAATTGTTTTAGTGTAGAACCAATTTAAATGATTCTTGAACATCTAAAACTATTTCTATTTTACCAACAGCAAGGAAAGTTCACCCATAACCTAAATAACTCTAGATTTTATGCCCCCTCTCTTCTTATCGGAAGGTGTCCTAATGGTGCAGTGCTTAAGCACTCAGCTGCTAACCGAAAGGTCAATGGTTCAAACTCACCAGCCACTCCACGAAAGAAAGCATGGCAGTCTGCTTCTGTAAAGATTACAGCCTAACAAACCCTATGAGCTAGAAACAGAGATACTTTGTGATCCAACAATCCCACTACTATGTACATATCCTAGAGAAATAAGAGCTGTGACACAAACAGATATACACATATCCATGTTCATCACAGCATTATTCACAATAGCAAAAAGATGGAAACAACCTACGTGCCCATAAAGGGATGAATGGATAAACAAACTATGGTACATACGCACCATGGAATACTATGCAACGTTAAAGAATAATCATGAATCCGCAAAACATCTCACAACATGGATGAACCTGGAGGACATTATGCTGGGTGAAATAAGTGAATCACAAAAGGGCAAATATTGCATGAGATCACTAATACATCTTCACTTTTTTGGCCCATTCAGAGAGATCTATCCATATACCTCTTCCCCATATCTCCTTGTCTCCAATTTTCCAATCACGTTCCTTCCAAATCCCTAACCTTCCAGCCAAACCATTGGCCACAGCCCATGATTCAGTATACAATCGCACATCTGGCCATTTCTCCTTCCAAGCAAAATGAACAACAAGGTGCACTGCTCGAAGTTCTGCCCATTACCACTGTCCTTAACCACTGTCCTTCAGGGAGGTCCCAGAAAGTGGTTGTAGTGCTGCTGCTGTCCACTTTCAAGTGGTGCCTGCATACTGTGCAGAAACATCTGTAAACCAGGCACGAGTTTACTCTTCCTCAGTCAACTGATCATAAGGAACTCCCCATGCGGACATAGGTGCAGACTGGTAGATGGAAGGTAATGTGACACCAGTTACTGATGGGCACCTCAGGCCATATGGTGACTTGGTGGCCCTTGGTTAAGTGTTCAGTCTCTACTAAGGCCAAGTAACAAGCCAAAAGCTGTTCTCAAAAGGAGAGTAGTTACCTACACAGGATAGCAAGGCTTTGTTCCCAAATCCTAAAGGTCTGCACTGTGATTCACCAGCAGAGGCCTGCCAAAGATTCCAAACAGCATCTCTATCTCCCACTGACACCTCAAGCACCTTTGGATCAGCTGGATCATAGGGCCCAAGTGGCAGAGCGGCTTGCACAGCAGCCTGAACCTACTGCAGAGCCTTCTCTTGTTCTGGGCCCCACTCAAAACTAGCAGCTTTTCGAGTCACTTGATAAACAGGCTGGAGTAGCGCACCCAAATGAGGCATATGCTGCCTCCAAAACCCAAAGAGGCCCACTGGCATTATGCCTCGTTTTTAGTTATGGGAGGGGCCAGATGCAATAACTTATCCTTCACCTTAAAAGAACTATCTCGACATGCCCCACACCACTGAACTCCTAGAAATTTCACTGAGGTGGAGGGTACCTGAATTTTTGTTGGATTAATTTACCACCCTCTAGCACACAAATGTTTTATCTGTAAGTCCAGAGTCATTGACAATTACTCCTTACTAG